TTGGCATAGATCGTGTACCAGTTTGTTGCTTGGAGCATCGTTTTCAATCTCGTTTCCTGTTATTGTTACCATCGTTACCACCTGCTATCGCTCCTTCTCTCTCCCATGCATAACACCTAATCATTTCCATTTCAACATCTTTCCAACACATAACTTTGTTTGCATACAAGATTTCTTTCTGAACAAGCAGTCAAAGATGACGAGATAAAAGTCCTTGGCGGTAATAAGTTCCGTTTCGATTGCGCCAAGCATTTGGCTTCCACTCAGGGTCGTTGTAGCGTTTTGAAGGCTGTGCATCCTATCCGAGAACTTGTGGCCACTCGATGGATAAGTCAGTGCGTCTATCTCCCCAGACGAGCCTGGAAAGAGATAGATGACTCCGCAAGAGTGGAAGCCTCGTATGTCTAGGAGAGAGCCGAGCCAGACTTCGAGTCACAGACCAAGTGTATGACAGTGCACCACTTGCTAATATACCACCACTCTCCAAAATAGATAATCTAATATAATAGAGGTCGTAAAGTGTTTGAAGATTCATCTTTGTCAGTGCCTGAACATTCTCTTCCGAAATTTCAACTTCCACGATCCCCGACGATCCCCCCTTTTTGACTTTCAGGGTTTTAAGAAAGTAGGAACAATGAAGTCCTCAAAAGATGGAGTCGTCAACGGTTGAGCCTACCTACCCAGTCCGAATCTATTATGCTGCGATTGTGAGAACATCAATACTGCCAATTCGCTTTCCCACTCCTCGTTAAGCGTGGCTGCATTCTCTCCGTCCCTTCGCTAAGGTGAGCTGTATTTTCTACCAGCTCAAGTTTTTTTGGGAACATTCTTTACGCTAATTGCTCTCTGAAATGCAATGGTAGAGTGGTTTCCTGGTGTTTAGTGAGAGGGAAATTTTGTAGATATAACTAGTGCCCATGAATTCGAGCCCCTATTCTAGCATGAGCCATGTATTCAGAAAATTACATGGAGTTGAAAGGAACCGTTCAAATTAGGAGCATTGTAGATGTGCAGCTCATTTATCTATTTACCTTCCTTAGGAATGAAATTCCTTTTTTACAACCGTTAATCAGTGACATGGGACACTGAGAGCTAAGCACAGGGTAAAAGTTCTGGCATCTGATGGGCTCGAACCTTGATCAAGAGAGATGTTTATACGCTGCTGCAAAATTTTCGAAGTAACAATTCAGAGTCAACAAAAACATGTTTTTGAAGTTCTTTTCCCCCAAGTCTCTGCCACAACAAAACGAGAATTTCTCACGAGTGAGCTCGATCATTACAAAAACAACAAATCACATTGACATATCACTCATGACTCATGAAAAAAAAAACGTGAACGTGAATTCAATAAATGATGCATTCCGGAATTTTGTTTTAAAATCATAAGCACTAGTTACTATTACCTCTTTCGCCGTAATTCTTCATTGGAAACTCGATGTAGTGCAAAATTCCAGAACCAAGTTAGGGTCCAGAACTTTCTATAGGAAACTGAGGTAATAGGGAACGCAGACGGTCCTTAGAGTGGATGGCGTTTTCTACCAGCTATACTGAATATAATAATCGAGATGCCGATCGAAATAAATCTTTGTTATTCGCTCGCCTCTTCACCTTTTGAATGCTGTCTGATTTATAATCACGTTTACCTTCAATTTGAATCTTTCTGAAGTTCCCAAACCTTATTCATCGTGTTGGTATGGGGAGAACCAGCTATTGCAGTTGCAGAAACCCCATTTCTGACAATATGTGATTCTTCTCTGTTTGTGGCTACGCTGTTTGCTCAGAATTGGTCTCAATTTGACACTCACTTTGATGCCCAAATGAACTAATCTGCTTCCCATGGGTTGAGGTGTGCTCCTCAGATCTTATGGAAATGTTCCAGCTTCGCTGGACCAGTTAAGCTTGTGGCTGTTGTTCGCTGAATCGCGTGATTTGTTAAGCCAAACTTGTAGCTTTTACTTGTTCGCTCATTCATTATACATTGGTTTCGGCAGTCATGCTTATTTGGCTTAGAATTTCTTTTTTTTNTCTATTTCCACTACTTCTATTTCGAGACAACTGCTCCATTTGGGGGCGTTCTAGGAAGGTTTTCAAGTCTGCTTCATGGCGTTTACTGGGCCCTGGACTTTTTCCTAATTGAACGTGGGTTTCAAGGACTTTAATCAGCTTAAATCCCTGTAGGATCATTAGTAACCCTTGACGTAAAGGCTTGCAGTTGGTGACCTTTTTAGCGCCAGTGAAGGGTTCCATTCTCAATTAGACAGGCTGGCAATTCTTCCATGGAACGAAGACGTTCCGCTTGTTAAGTGGATTACGATTTTAGAACCAGTTGTCCTTTCTGAAAGCCGTCTGGTGGAGATAGGCACCTGCAGCCTTTCAGGGGGTTTCTAGGGGGTTACAACTCCTAATTCATCTTCGATCTTATTTGTGCCTCTGAATCATACAATTTTCTCTCGGAGTAGGGTAGTATGGGAGTATCTTCTCAAAATGGGATCGGGAACCTCGTCGTCTCCTCTCGTCCCTCCTAAGAAGGCTAGATTTTACCTAAAGTCAACTTTTCAGATGCCACCAAATGCACCAGCTGAACTTGATGCAAATGTAGTAGCTCAGGTACGTTTCTTCCTTTTCTCAGAACCTCCCTTTCCTGGAAATAAGCCCAGCACTTTCAGGTTCGTTCACAAGTAGCCGATCTCCTCCATCCCCGTTATGATACTCACTTCAATATCCTACGATGGTTACAATCCTGTGAGTTCAATATACCGAAGACTGTTCACAACCTTCGGAAGCATCTAAAGTGGCGAAAAGAACGTCATCTCGACGAGGACGCTCGTGGACTTCAAAGTTGTCCTGTCAGTTGTTTCCTGTCTCGTTTCCATGGCAATGTTTACGAATTTGCAAGAAATGAACGATTTTTTAGATAACTGCTGAATATGCCCCGGTTTCCATCATCGGACCAAACCGAAAGAATGGAGATCGACTGATCGTCGTGGACCAAAGCGGTGAGGCTTTCTGAAACACTTCAAAACGTTCTGCTAAATAAAGGCAGATTCTCGATCTCGTAACGGATAGATCGAGTCTACAACCGTATTCATGTAGGTTTTCCGCAGCTTTTTGTTTCAGCTGCGCTCTATTTTATCCTAATTGGAATTTCCTTTTGGGGAAGACCACGGTAATAAATGCTTTTGTATCGTTCGAAGGCTATTTATCAGTTCCAGTTTGAAAAAAAGCACCCTGTTTGGTCATAGTGGTCATGGTGGATATAGCGCTGTGACCAAAAATGTATCATCCCTAGCAGCCATAAATTTTATTTTTTTTACCGTACTCTAGCTTGTGATTCATCTGGGGTCACCTAGTGGGACGGTGTCGTTCGGGTAGCTTTTGTGAAAATTTGCTAGTAACCGTGAAAGTTCAACGTGGACGCCGAATTTCAGAAATTATCAATCTGAACGAAACTAGGAAGAGTTTGGCCCACCTCACCATAATGGAACATTTCTGAAGGGTTGCGGTAAATTGTAGTAGGGTCGAACAGGGGTTATTTACACAACTCACTCTGTTTACAAACAAATCCTGCTGTTCTTCTCAATCAATCAATTCCTCCATTTTCCTTCGATAGTCGTTTCAACTAGTCCCACCCGTAACTTATTATGACCAATAACTAGGACCAATAACTTTCAAAAACACATAAGAAAACGATAGCAGTGTTATTTTGTATACGGTATATGAAGTAAAAAAAA